CACCTTCCCTGCTCACGGCTGACAAAGCCGTTTAGCACAAAGATGGCTCAGATATTCCTCTGGTATGTGTAGTTTGCCCTCTGATGAACGCTGCGATTTTCTCTAGCCAGTCTCGGAGATGGGAAAACACAGATGAGCTTTATCCAGGCCTGAAGAGGCTGGAGCACATAAGCTGCTTGCCATATTGATGAAACACCTGGGGCATTCATTCTGAAGCCTAAACGCAGGCTGTTCACCTGGACTGCCAAGTACAACAGAAGCTTCCTTCTGGCTGGCAGGGTGTATTAATTTAAACAGAGCACCATCTGCAGGGCCTTGGAGAACAGCAGATCGGAGAGGAGAGGCAGGGAGGTTACTGGAAACAGTCTCGTTCTGATCTGGGGGCCTCCACTCCCATCCATTACCTATCATTTCTAATTAGCAGGCGCATCTTGGGGAAAGCTTCTCCGATTCACTTTCTTGCAGATGCTTTTCTTGCTAAGAGCTGTTGTTTTTGCTGAGCCTCCCGAGCTTATTTTGCAGGCTTTCACTGGCATTTGGAACTGTAATGGTCTCAATGACCCAGTAATTAAAGGAGTCCTGTACCTCCTGGACCAGAGAGCTGCCCCTTTGTCCTTCCTCTTTCTTCTCCCTGCAATGCCACTACCAGATGGTCGGAGGTTTTTCACCCCTTCAAAAGCCTCGTGTTTTTCCCATCTCATCAAGCATGTCTCAGCCATGCTTAATTAGCTTAAGGCTTTTCAACCACCCACCCCACTCCCCCTGACTCACCCCCCAGGAGATCAGTTAAGGACCTGAACAATTTCAATAAAGAGCTTGGAAAGCAAATCCTCAGAGGGGAGGCAAAGCTGCAGGAGGATGTAATATTAATGGTAGGGATCAGTCATTCGTTCTTTCTTCTCCCACTTCTGCCTGTCTGTCCATCCTCCCTTCCACTTATCTCCCCTTTCAGAATATCTGGGGATGCCCTTTGCTCTTTGGCAGTGCTTGGGAGCATTTGGTGGTGCTCACCCTGAGGCTGCCAACAGAGTACTGTTACTTTTAACCCGTTTCAATTAGGAAGTTCTGTCGAAGTCCTCCTTGAATAGGAAATGGCAAACATAATTAGCTAACCCATGTTAGGAGGCTCTTGGGTTGGAGTATTTTGGGTGAGTTTGTTTTGCTTTATTGCCTAATTCCTTGGCTGGTTTGAAAGTAGCTTTATTTACAGATCAGAGCAGTTGAGATGAAAGCCTGGTTAATTAACAGAAAAAATAAATTTGCTTCTTGCTTTGTATTTAACACGGAACGGCATTTATTTCTGCATTGTCACATATGCACTTTTATTATTAATCTTCAAGCTTTAGCTGTACAACTGTAAATGAGGTTTAGAAAGAAAACAAAAACTCTTTCCCCTCTTCCCTCCCTTCCTATAAAGCAATCGAGAGAGCTGTTTAAGCACGTGAAGCACAGGCTTAGTGTGGCATGTAGGATGTCTCAGAGGTACCTGTGGACGTTTGCTGTGTAATTGAGTACAGCATCTTTTGTTCCATGCACACAGGCAAATGAGAGCACCCAGCCATCGTGTGTTTGCACCGCTACAATTAAAGACCAACTAATATAGCCACCTTGGAGATAAATATTTAGATATAATTAAAATGGCTAGCTGTAAATGCAAGAATCTAGCTGTGGATGATAGAGAAATGTGAGAGGGGGTTCTTGGCTACTATACAACAATTTTCTTCCAACACTCCCCATCGGCTAGATTGAAATGCTGTATATGAGGCTAGATTGAAAGGTTGTTCTTACACTACTGCAAATCTTGGTATTTTTAAGGCACCGAGGGAAATAAAATGCAAAGAGCACACTCTAAATGAATGCACGATGCAGCACAGGAAAGGCCTGTAACATCGCTGCCTCCGTGGGAGTAAGTAGGGCTGTCGCTAAAGAGGAGCACAGCTCCCCAGTGCATTGGCACTGCTATTTACAGCCAGTAATCTTTGAAGTGCTAACTGCCCTTTTGTTTTTTGTGTGTGTGTAAGAGAGATGTTGCGTTTTTCTTTTATGTTTGTTTTCCACAAAAAGAAATGTTGGTTATTTTTATGATGGCTGCTGCTTAGTTGAGATCCTCTATGTAAAGATTACAGATGAGTTATGTGACCTGACATTCTCCCTGGGAATGTGCTCAGAACGAAGCAAGCCAGTGGCATTTCAAAGTCTGCTTTCAAAGTAGTTGGCTATATACTTTGTTTATCATAATTGCTAGGATGTGCCATTTCTCTGGTATTTTGTACCTTCTCTTAATTGACTGCGAGGCAGAAAGCCTTTGGGCAGAGGCCCTGAGACCCAAAGGATGCATACTCATGCTGGGAACAAAATGTGCCACTTGAGGCTGCTCCGTGATCCCCATCCTGTGAGAAGAGCTTGAAGCAGTCAGGCTTGCTGCGGGCTGTGGAAATGAAGCGAGCTCTAACCCTTCAAGAGCACCTGTAACAAGTACACGTTGCTGGGCACACTTCTCAATTACTGTGCTGTTCATCCTCTCACTGCGCTGTGCCAGGTGGTGATTTGAGCACTTTGGAGGAAACCAGCACTGTAAGTGATTGGCTTTGAAGGGGGTTTCACATCCTGCTAATTGAAATCTCTGCTCCTCCCAATCACATATCACCTTGTAGCCTCCTACTTCCTCCATGTGCCATGTCTATTAGTGTGGCTCCATGCGAGCTGGCAGTGACCAATGCGAAAGGCTGTCCTGGAGATGAGGCACTCACTGGAGCACTGGGGGCTTCCCAGTTGCTCACTGAGCAGCCCCACTGCTTACACCCCGTCTGTCCATGTGGGGAGCAGGTAAGAGCTGGGCATCTGTGCCTGGCTGGGAGGTGGAGGGAGGACCAGCAGGGCGGTGCTGCCTTGGCTCTGCTTGGCTGAGGACACCAGAGAGGCCACCACCCAGCAGAGCCCAGCACCTTCATGGCAAGGTTAGCACGAGTTCTGTCTTTCTGCAAAAATACTTTGATCCAGTTCAGTGTATCAGCAGGAATTTTGTTTTGGCAAGAAAGCAACTACTTTTTTTTTTTTTCCCCCCTACATTTCACTGGTTTCTTGTTTCTGGAGACTTCACAGTTCTGTGGCTAGAAACCTCTCGTGCTTAAAGCTATTGGCCCTCCTGTGAAATAAAAACTGTTTGAAATAAAAACAGCTAAGGAGGAAAAGGAAAAAAAAAACACCGCAGCCTTTCCCAAGGCCTGACATTCAGATTGCTTTGCAGTGCCCCCTGGAGGGATGGCCTTTGGTTATAAGCTCCACTACATCACTGGAGAGCTGGCTGCACACAACCACAATGGCAGCCCTCCAAAGACTGAACTTTAATGATGAATGCCACGAAATACTGCTACACAGGCTCACTCTGGGGAAAGTAATACTGTGTACAGTGTGTGATCTATGTCACCTGGAGTCCTTATCATTTCTTTCAGCTATTTGCAGAACTCTTTCGTGTTTGGGCTGCGGAAGGAGAGCATTAATTCAGGTTTAGTAAACATGAAGATAGGCAGAAATAAAATGAATCTGCACTGTTAAGCTTGCTATAGCAAACATACCTTGGGAGAGCAAAAAGATGCTGAGCTGAACTTAGCGAGCTTTAATTTGGGTCCATTTTCATTGTACTTTCTTTTGTACCATAATTGGTATTATTAAGCAGTCTCCTGGGCTATGAATTACTGCTATAGTAAGGAAATGAAACAACTGAAGAACTTTGCTGACTGGGAACATGCAGAAGGAGAAGCAGGACCTATTTAACCATTATTATTATTAATGTCTTCTCCAAGCGTTGTTAATATCATCATTACTGCCATACAGACATGCAACAGAGCTCCCTAAACTTCAGCTGATAATAACATTGTGCGAGGTGCCGTACGCTTAGGTCTCTATCCAGAAAGCACACAGCCTAAATCGTGTATCGTGCCATGCTTATCAGTATAACCAAGGCATCCGTTAGATGGATTTCCAACATAGTTGTGTGGTTTTTTTACATGTATTGTCTGCGCCCATTAAGATTTCTCCAACTCCTGCTGGTTAAAGAATTAGCTTTGCTCTGCCAGAGGAACTGTTGCATGAATGACCAATACGTACCTGTCGGTGCTTCTGCCAGGCAGAAACACCTCTTGTTCTTCCCCCCATGAAACATTCTTAAAAAACAGAGGAAAAAAAAGACTTGCTATCTTTTCAATTAGGAAGTTTGTTGTTGTTTTTGTTTTGTTTTGGTGAGTTTTTATTGTTTTTTTTTAATCAGAAATCCGAATACTTCTATTAATTGAGAGCTCTCTGCTGCCAACCTTTCCCCAGAGAAGTAGGGCTACCCAAGGAATACAGAGTTCTGTTTCTCTGGAAAGTCTTTACTCCTAACACACTTAGTTTTTCTGGCAATTCAACTCCACTGCCAGTGTATCTACAGATGATGGTTAGACTTGATAATTTTAACTGTCATTTCCAACCTAAATGATTTGATGGTTATAAATAATTTTGGCAAGAGCCAGCAATACTTCTCTGGCAGCTTTGGGCTTTTCAGGCTACTTTTGTAGGACTCCCTGAAAACAGAACAGTTCCCATAAAACTGTCTGTTAAAAGAAAGGGAAAAAAAAAAAAGTATGTAACTTGATAGGGGAAGAGATTTTGTTAGAAATATTTTGATCAACTCCACATGTGCCTTTGCAGCCAGCTCTTTTTGCAGCAGGACCACCCGCCGCACGTGGGATGCAGCAGCTCCAGTGGCCTTGGTGCAGCCTCAGGTCTGCTGCAGTATCCCAGCCAACCTCCAGCTTCTTTCCGAGCCAGGCACTCTTATATGCTGTGGCAGCAATAGGCAAAATAGTCACACCTCTGCAAAGTGCCTCCTGCTGTGGTATGATGAGGAGGCTCACCCTCTCCTCCTCCATCCCTGTGTTTGAGGTATATCTGTGGCTTGGGTAAGGTTCTGGTTTTGTTCTGTCTGCTCATTTTTGCAAAACCATGTTTCTTGAACTCACCTAACGTGTGTAAATACAAACTGGCCTCCGCTGTGCAAATTCCTCTTCAACTGTGGTGCACAGTGCTGAAGTCAGGGTCAGCCTCATCCAATGTTACAGCAAATTACAGTGTGTACAACCAGGATGGGAATCAGTGGTACTCGGTGCTTTCGGCCATTGTAATGTCAGCTCCAGGCATAGTGGATATTCTGTGGGAATAAAGCAACTCATTAAGACACACGGGTTATTTGCTCCCCTCACCACCAAATATTCACAACATCTGTTCACCGAAAGGCCACAGACTTCTAACTCAAAGCACAGCTCATTCAGAGACCCATTTTAGGTGCTTATATCAGATTAGTAACTAAGTAGGCAAAATATTTGATCAGGATTTGCTGTGAACTAAGAACTCTCTTGGCAAGGACTACCTGTTTTCTATGTAGCAGTTCCTCCCTTCAGTGAGTTTGTAGTATTTAAAATAGATTTGATGTGAAAAGACCAATCCAAGATGTTTATTTTGTTGCCTGGCTTTCATTGTATACATAGAGACATCTTGTGAATGGTTGTGAAAAGAAGTTGTTTGAGACTCCTCAGGCTGTTTGTCAGGCTGAAGGTTTTTAGTGCACTCAAGTGTAGTGAAAAATGAGAACTATAAAGCAATATAACGCGAATTGTCTAGACCTTTAAACCTACTCAGGAAATCAAGATATATATGTATTTTTAAAGAAACTCAATAAACCTTGTTTTTAGGATTGTGAAATCTGCTATTGACAGGGCTGAACATAAACACGGTTCAAGGCCAGTGACTTAATTCTAGGTGACACCACTCCTAATCCTTTATAGCCGAATCCTTCAGTTTTATCTGCGGCTCTGGGAAAAGGTCTGTCAAGGCTGAAGTCACTTGCACGAGGGGATTAGCAATTTTTGCATTCTTTTGAAAGCTTCAGTAATTCTCTTGAAAGTAACAGATGCCAAGGCATTTGTGGAAACTGTGGGCAGTGGCAAGCCTTACACTGGCCTGCAAATTCTTTCAGACCTGGGCCATGAGAAACAGCGCACATCTGAAGCCTGCAATTCCAACCTTTGTGCCATGTGTGCCGGCAAAAGCTCTGTGTTGTCTTCTGTCTGTGAGTAATCAAGGGGAGGAGAAGAGGGGAGATGTTCCTTCTGATTGACCCAGGGGTGGAATCACTATATTGATTTCTTTTCTTTTTTTTTTTTTTCTTTTTTCAAGCCTGGAATAGTTGAAAGCTCTATTATAAAAAGGCTTTGGGCTTTTTAGTGAGCTCATGAGCTAAGAAGGTCTTCATTAGAAATAAATCATAAAACATGATCCAAATCCAGCCATCTGAAGGAGTTTAGCTGGAGGAAACGCTTTTAATATGTGCAAGTCATCTTCCTTCAGCAAGACAAATGCCTGCCACTGTCAACTGCTAATACAATTATTCTCTTCTGGCATAATTGGTAGAGGTCTTGCCTTTGGTGCTAAGATTGCAAGTATAAGCCTTTAAGTTTTCTAGCACCTCATAATGGGAGGATGGTATCACAGAAGGGCTGAGCACTATAACATACCAGCCTGGGTTTCAGTATTTTATGTGGCATTTGACATTCTGAGCATCCTGGGGCTCAGCTGTATGCTGGCTGACCTTCAGGACATCTCACTGCAAGGAACCCTTGTTAGCCATCAGTTATTAGGAAGATGTGGGGGAGATGCTACAGACTTGCTCAATAGCTTGGAGTTATCTTATTAGACTTGAGAGTTTGCCAATTTTCATGATAGACACCAGTTTTATTAGCAGTTCTGTAAACTGTTGAGGGAAAAAGAAGGCAAAAGCCAATTTGTTGGCTCTAATGTTGCTGAGCTCTGTAAGCACAGGTCACAGAGGTGGTGTCATCTCCAGTGCGGTGAGAATTGGCATTGAATTCATGAAGCCAAGTTTAGGACTCCAGATAGGTGGCTTGGTTTTTCAAAAACGCTGCACATATGCCAACTGTGCTGTGAAATGACATCCTTTGAAGCCAGCTGGAGCTGCTGGGTGCTTGGAGCTTTTGAAAATCAGGATCTAAACTCCATTTTAAAGTGTTCCTAGCTTCAGTCACCTGATGCTGAAAATACTGACCTACGTCTGCTGCTATCTAGAGCAATCCGCACGGTAGAAGTGTGTTTGATGGAAAGGAGAGATGTTCTTTCCAGTGATAAAGGGAAAAATCTTGGTCTATTTGAAAACATATTCTCTCTCAATGGAAGGCATTGAGACGAAAATGAAAATTTGTTCCCCCCTTTTTTTCTTAAAGACTTTTGTTCACGCTGTGTATTGTGTGGTTTGTATCTTTGGCCTGCAGTTTCTGTTTTGTGCCTGAAGATATAGCATGACTTGGAGGAATCTAATATCTCAGAGTGCAGTCAAGATGATTGCTGAGGAAAAAAAGAAGTGCCAAAGCTTTCCAAATGAGTTGCTCCAGGCCTTATCCAAAGTAATTAAGAAAAGTCAGTAATGCTCTCGTCCTAATCCAGCATTGGTCAGGCTTTCCATTTGAAATTGCTTCCTTTTGGTACAAGTACATCTCTAATAAGTGTGAAACCCAGAGTAGTTGTCTGACCCTTTTCTCTCCTGCTGGTCAAGTTGCCAGAACAACCAGTAACAGCAGAATGGGCCTCTTCCAACAGTGGGAGTAAACTCATATCAGAGGAAGTGTAATTAGGAATAAAGCTATTTGGGAGAGGGTAAGTCCTCCAGTACTTCTCCTACTCTGCACTGGTAAGCTGTAGATCTGGTGGATCATTACGTGCCAATGCTGGTAGATGTCAGGGTTTATGAACCTGACTGAGGACCTCTCTAGAATGATTTCCTGTGGCTGTAATGCGTGCTGCTGGCTTTTTCTTACTCTCCACTAGTGAGTTCTTCTGGACTGTTCTGAAGAAGAAAAGCTGTATCTCGTAATCAGCAAGCTCTTCCTTGGGGCTGTCTGCTTCCCATTTTTTTCAGGGAGCTTAGAAGAAACAAATTCACCTTCCTCTTCTAGGTGTCGCACTCCCTCACCATCCTCAGGGTCTTCTCCCAGCCTTCCCTATACCCTATAGCTAGAGGTGAAGGCAGGAGCAGCATGGGGAGGGAGTGTTCCAGAAATCAAGAGACAGGAAAAAAGAAAAAAAAAAGGATAACCTTAGAATGCTGACTCATTGGAGAAAGAAATGTTCAATTGAAAGCAAATAATCCAGACCCCTGTTTTACAAAGCTGAGGTCAGTTGAGAAGTACTTTGCAGCTGTTTGGAAGTGGAAGGATTATAGCTGTTAGTATTCTTTGCCTTACATTATCTAAATGTAAATGTCTGTCTCTGATGTAGCATCCTAGTTAGACCCTAGAATTTATGAACTGAGGGAATGATGAAATGTGAAAAAGTTGAGAAGAAAAATGTGCAGCTCTGTCTTTTTGTAATTCTTGCTGAGAGCTGATATAAATGGAAGACAAATCAAAGGCAACAATAGCACCATGCATTTTATCTCGCACACTGTGATGCATATTAGTGTTGTTTCCCATTGTGAGCCCAGAAGAACATTTACAATTTTAGAAAACACTGCATAATGACTCTCCACAAGGAAGAGAAGCTAGCATATGACTGCCAATACTGACACTTGCTTTTTTCTGGCCTGTGAAATTATTTTCCTAGAACCTCTGAATGGAAAAAAAAAATTCCAACCCTGCACTGTGAATTTTGAATTCTGCCCTAAATTTTCTCCGTGAAGCAGAGTAGATAGATGTGGTGATATTCTATATCCAGTCTTTGACCTTGCCAGGAAATACTGGTTAAACCCATCAACATGTGACAATGATCTTTTAAGGTGTGGGTAATACCACCCAGGCTGGTGGATGACTCTTTTCCAAGGCAACCGAAGATTTCTGTTCAGTTTTGCTTTTTACTGTTTTGGGAACATTCCTGGCTTTGTGGGAGGAGGGTGAATGTCAGGAGGACTGGAGTAAGTATTTTAAGTATTAAACACTAGCAGTGCTATTGCGGTCTGGTTCTGTACCTCCCTCGCTCTCCAGAATGTCAGTAGTAAAGCTGAGTTGTAAAACATGCCATTGAAATGTGTGGAAATGCGTGACTGTCATCATGGAGCTGAAACACCCTTAGTGGTAGCTAGGCTGCTTTTTTAGACTTGTCTCAGTTTGGGCATACATAGCATGCTGTTCCCTCTAGCAGCATTGTGACTTAGAGAATTTTGATCCATTCATGGCTTGCTTCTATGCACTCTGAGTTGAAAGGAGGATGAGATCATTCCCTGCTGGCACAGGACACTCAGATAGGAGCCAGCTCTTGCTCTGACGTAGCAGTGCTGAGCTGAGTGCTGGAACCCGTAGGGCCAGTGCCAGGTGACACAGGGAGAGCTTGAACTCTTCTTCACCTCCTGGTGGCCAAGTGGAGCGATGGGGAATACATCCCTCCTTTCTCTCCGGAGTTAAATCTAAGGTGTTTCATCTTTGCACCTTCCTTCCCACTGAAGTGGCCTGCTGGGCTTTATCTTATAACAAAATAAGTTCTAGATATTGCCTGTGTATCTGAAACAGTCCTCTGCTGAAAGCCAGGCACCAACAAATTCAGCATTTAGTTCCTTTGGAATATGAAGTACTGTGATGGGAATGTAAGCACCCCCATAATAACAGGTGAAGAGGCAAGTGCTGAACATTGCTTTCAGTATTAAACTGTGGCTGAGTTGACCTGGAGCTCTCAATTAGAGACAAGAACATCAGGCACTTCATTATTGGAAATTAGAAAAAAATAAATTAGAAAGGCAAAAGTCCAACAAGGAATTACTCTGGCCAGTATTGTTAAAGATAATAAAAAATGTTCTTACAAATATATTAACAGCAAGAGCAGGGCCAAGGAGAATGTCTTGCTTTTTTTGGACGTGGCACGGAACGTTATCACATGGGGTAAGGATGAGGTTCTCACTGTCTCTTGTCTTTAATCATCAGGCCAGTTATCCTCAGGGTGCTCAGCCCCTTGAGCTGGAAGACAGGGATGGGGAGCAGAATAAACCCCCCACGATTCGAGAGGAAACGGTTACTTGCTACACCACCTGTACTGTCAAAAGTCCATGGAGTTGGATGAGATCCACCTGGGTGTGCTGAGTGAGCTGGCAGATGTGATTGCCGAGCTTCTTTCCACCATCTATCAGTGGTCTTGGTCAACTGGAGAGATCCCAGACAACTGGAGACTTGCTGATATGATGCACGTCTACAGAAATGATTGGAAGAAGGATCTGGGGAACTGCAGGCCTGTCAGCCTGACCTTGGTACTGGGGAACAGAATGAAGCAGATGATCTTGAGTGCAGTCACACGATATGTGCCAGACAACCAGGGGTTCAAACCCAGCCAGCATGGGTTCACAAAATGCAGGTACTCCTTGACCAACCTCACCTCCTATGGCCAGCTGACCTGCCTGGTGAATGAGGAAAAGGCCATACATGTGATCTACCTAAACTTTGGCACTGACTCCCACAGAATTCTTCTGGAGAAGCTGGCAGCCCATGACTTGGAGGGGTGAAATCTTTGCTGGGTAAATAAGTGGCTGGAGGAATAGTAGGAAAAATTCCACCTCAGAGCAGTGATGCAGTGGCACAGGTTGCCCAGGGAGTGGTGGAGTCACCGTCCCTGGAGGTGTCCCAGAGCCGTGGGGATGTGGCACTGAGGGACATGGGCAGCAGGCATGGTGGGGGTGGGCTGGGGTTGGACTTGGTGATCTTGTGGTCTTTTCCAACCTTGATGATTCTGTATTTCCATGATTATATTGCAGTGCTTTGACGTTGATTCTAGGAAACCATCTTCCCCTACTTAATCATCATTTTTCTCTTACATTTATCAAGTAATCAGTAGAAATTTAAAATGACAGCAGTGCATACAAGGTAAGTAATATTGGACTTGCAGTATGTTTGGTTTTCCTCTGAGCCCTTTGAGGCCTGACTAATGTTGACTCACACGTTGTAGAGGAGAAAGACATGCTTTCACTGGAGAAATGGGAATAACAATCAGCATTAATGACACACTGCAAAAGCAGCGCAGATCTCCAGAAGCCAGATTTCATTGATGTCTTCCACAGAGCACACAGTGCTTCCCCAGCAGAGTGAGGAGGATCATCTTCAATAACACAGCCAGCACTGTCATCTGTCACCGGGCTGTCCCCTTCTTTACTGAGGGAAAACAACGCCAAGCCATTCATATAAAATTTCTTACTGCCCTTGATTGTGTGTGTGCATGTGGTGTTTAAATGCCTGTTATGTTTTGGTGAGTCACCACCCAGGTCCAAAGCAACACACCTGAAAAACAGAAATAGGTGAGGATTTCAGTAGGGAAATGATTTCTTTAACGTAGATTTGTGTTAATCATCATGTAGTCAAAGCTGACTGTAAAGCTTTAAACGACTCCAAGTAGAACTCTTTCAAAAAACAAACAACAAAAAAAAAACCCACAACCTGGATTCAGTCATTCATTTGTTTTTGAAAAATGATCATCACGTCTCTTGGTAGGGGAAAAAAGATGATAAGTATCACCTGTAAGGTCTTTGTGATTGAGTGCTGCCAATTACCACTTTTCTTTCCAGCGAATGAGTTTCATATTCTGTTGAGCTTAATTCTAGGAAGCTAGCAGGCTTACAAAATTAAAACAGAGAGCTTGGCTGTGTCTTTCCAAATAGCAAGATGTTTCAGCCAGGTGTGAGGTGAACAATACCTCTAGTTATCCAAGTTTTTAGGAAGTGGGATTTTGTTGTTGTTTTAACAAGTGTGTGTTTTTCACTTTTTCATGCTGACTGCTGCGTCTTTGCATCACAAAATGTTTGAAAATTACAGTGTGCCTGCAAGGTACCATCCATTAACAGAACTTTGCTGAACTTTCTTGTGCTCTCGTCACTGAGAACATTCTGTTCTATTTTAAGCCACCAAATTTAGGCTGGGGTCTGTGGATGAATAAAAGGAAAGTGTCTCTTTCTCTCCCACACAGTATTTTGTTACTGCTTTTCAGGTAAAACCATACACTCTTTATTTACCCTTCTGCTGCTCTTCCCTGCCACTTTGAAGCTCATTCTTCATATGCTTGGTAATAGTCTCCTTGAAAAGGAATTGAGCAGAGTATTTTCCAGGGCTCCTCTTTGACTTAGCAGTTATCTCTTTCAGAAGCAGTGACCCCAGAAGTAAATGTTTGCAGTTGTAAGGGTGAGCAGCCCTGGCTACACTCTATCAGAAACTTGGGCAAAGCCTCCTTTTGTCCCATGCTCACGGCATGCTTTTTCACCATGGTGTGCTCTTCCTTGTAGCTGGGGTTGGAGACTTAAAATGCATGGGTGCTTGCTTGAGAGTTTGGGTATGTTTGGAAGGGATTTTTCTCTCTACCAGCTCTTGAGCAAGTGGCTGTTTTTGTCTTTTCACATTCTTACTCCCTCCCTCTCGCCCCTTAAGATGATTCAGTTTTCCAATAATTATCATTGTTATTTGCTTGCAGTGCCTGCCTGGTGCTGTTACAGCTGCTTAGAGCCGAGGGTTGACGTGGTTTCTTCTGCTTGGGGCAGCTCCTGTAGAGGGGAACCAAAAATTTCTTTACCGTTTCTGAAATAAATAGCGTGCTGCTCTGATAAATCAGACCTGCTTATGAGATCCAGGACCTCTTTGCTTTCACAGTCTATTGCTTTGCTGCAGTTGCATCAGGATTATTTGAAATGCTCAGAAAGTACGGCGAATGCAAAATTGAAATGGAATAGGGGCACAGTGTGTGCTGATGGAAAATCCAGCAGCAGGGCGAGCTATTCAGTTGTTAGTGGTGGAGGGGAAAGCAGGGCCTGCGAAGGCTATTGGGCACCTGGGTCAGCTCTTCAAAATGAAGGATTGCATCCTCACTCTCTGGATTAGTCGTGCAGAAAGGCATTAAACCTGCTCTACAAGGATAGCTGGAGACAGACAAGAAGCGTGGCAATATGTGTGGTGGGTGTGCAGGAAAAATGCATCACTGTGAGTGTGGATGTCCAGGCATCATTTGGGCAGCTGGTGGTTGTTCCAATGCTCGAGGAATAAGAGGCATTCTGCGTGCCCAAACATCAGTTCTCCCTGATGGAAGCCAAAGCTCGGAAGACCTGGAGGGTTCCTCTGGATCCTTTATGTGTAAGGATCCTCCAGTGCAGCCTTTCCTTGCATCCATGAGTGTTTGAGCAACAGGAAGCTGGAGGTGATCAGGAACTGAACTGTGTAACTTGTGAATTTGGTAAGCAGTTACAAGTGACAGGGAAAATAACAGAATGGGAAAGGAAGGTAAATAATGCTGCTTCTAGAGAACTCTGTATTCAGAACACCTACGCTTTTGAGCGTGCTGTCTGCCTCCTTTACAGACAGGGAGATGGAGTGCAAGAGCTCTGAAAGCAGCTCGGGCCAGGTAATCTGCTAGTTTGAATACTACCCGGCAACATTTTAGTTATGTTAACAGTCAGCAGTCAAAGAATTCAATTGAAAGCCTCTGGGTGCTCCATTTCAGATATTCCCTGCTGTAGGGTTCTTCTTTGATGAGAGGTTTCACAGAAAGAGCATCTGGAAAACAGCAGCATGGCCTCTTTGTCAGAAGAGAAATTCAGAAAGGCCTTTTCTGCGAATGATATGCCCTTGTATTCATCAAGAGCCTGCTGTGTGCAGGTCTATCCTGTTGTTACAGAGAGACAAAAGAGACAAAGAGCTCCTGATGGGCATTAGCGACTTTAGAGACGCCCAATTTGTATGGGTCTTACGGACCAGATTGCTGGGAGACAATCCTCCCTGCACTCCCATTCCCACCTTTAGGGAAAAAAAGGCATAATGAGATTTACTAAGAGTATATTTAATAAAGAACCGAAAAAGGGTAGGGATAAGCACTTCTAAGACACTCTTAAATCACGTTTTAAAAGAATTGCCGTTCAGCTTGAGCCTGGAAATAACAGAGCCTTTAGGTACAGACGCGTGCACAAACACAGAGCTGACGCGATGCACGCTGCGCCGCGGGGACGGGGAGCCTCATCGCTCTGCTGCTCTTGGAGACAGAGCCAAAATGCCACAAGGGAGGGTAAACACTCGATTTAATGATGAAGGGGCTGCAAATCCTAACAGCGGCATTAAGAAATGATGCTCAGCTCTTTCCAGCGCCTGGCAAAGCTGGCGTCTCAGCCAGCGCTCCTTCCTCTGACATCTCGAGCTTTCTTTTCATCTCTGCGGCGCCTAATTGCCAGGGAGTTTTTTGATCAAGGTAAAAGATTCCTGATTGAACAGATGGAGACGTTTGTTAATGAAGCTGCACTGAATAGAGCCTCAGACTCGTACTCGACCCGGATGTCACAGAAGGATGGTGAGGGGGGAATTGCCCCCAGCCTTCAGTGTAACAATATTAAGCAGGGCTGTGGCTGCTGTGGCTCAGAGCCCTGAGAGCAGGAGGTAGGGCACTTCTGCATATAGAACCATGCAAAAATGCAGTGTAAATCTTATTTGTGGGGGTATTTGGTGTGGTCGAAAGGGGTCAGTCATGCCGGACGGAGGTGGTGAACAGAGCAAAGCCAGATTCTCCAGTTCCTAAGTGAAGCGGCATTTATGCTACCAAAACGCAGTAGTAAACAAAGTACATGAAGGCTTGACAGTAACATTAGCAAACAGCTACAGTGAAATGGCTGGGAAGAAGGAAAAAAGCAGCCCCGACTATTTGCAGAGCAGGAGAAGTGGAACTAGTTTTGACAGATAAGACAGTGCAGCTCTGGGTCACAAGAGCTCTGTCTTTCATTTTTGTTGCTGCAGATGGAAAATGGTGCCTTCAAATTTTAACTGGAGAAATTCAGATTTTAACGAGCCCCCATTTCTCACTGTCTCCCAATTAGGGGAAGCATATTTACAGCTAAATGTAGAATAATAAATTTAATTTAGCGGCTGTGTGTTGCGGAAATCTGCATCATTCAGAATAGCTACAATGTAATTTTCATATTACATAATGACTGAGGTGTTTTTTTCAAGGTATATAACCAGAGTAGAAGAGGCTGCTAGACACATAACTTACATCTGGTGAATTTTCCTTGGTTGCAAATTGTCCATGGGCAGAAGAGCAGTTTATTGGAAATCCTGTAGCATTACCCAACAAATCTGTTCTGTAGGTATTTTTCAGGAGTAACAACCTTGCCATTTTACCTGCAAAAAGCACTAGTGGCAGCCTTGGACTGTTGTTATGGCTAACTGCTTTTCTTCAAGAATTCAGAATGATCCTAAGGCAAGGATTTTTGCTCTTAGTTACAAGGCTTCTAACAAACATTGGGGATTTTTTTCAGATCTGCGTTATCTTGGTGTTGCCAGATTGTACTGGCGGGACTCATTCATACATGAAATCTCATTTTTCTGTTTGTCTTAAAGCTTGTCCATGGTACTATAACTGGAAATTCACTGCAGAAATCCAGGTTCCTGCTCTGGAGCCCAGAGGCACCAGGAGGGCTTTGGTGAGGCTGGGCTCAGCCATGAGCACTCCATCTTCCCAACTGCCTCACAGTCAGCAGCAAATCAACCCCCTAGAGTCAGGCTGATTTCATTGGTTCTGGAGAGACTTGAGGTAGGATTCTGCTTTGAGTTACCTGGGAGAGGAGCCTGCCTCTTTCTCCTGATGACAGAGGCACTCTTCAGCACACAGCAAAGCCTTGCTGATGATCAGGTAAAAAAAATAAGTTGTATGGATTGCTCTGCATTACAGCTCCTAAGCCGGTATCATTGCTTGCATATAGACATAAATCTTGTGCAAGAGGAGGAGTTACACTTCTCACTTGCTAATTTATCAGGAGTGTGGAGAATGGATATAGGTATCTTACCTCTCTGTTCATTTTAATTTCGTGAATTGCATGCGAATTTGAAGTTGTGTTTCTCCAGAGGAAGAGCAGTGCATTAGCTCGAACTGCGTGGAACTACCAATAGGTTGTGACTGGAGAGGAAGGAAAAAAAAAAAAACAAAAGATAAAATAACAGGACAGAGATTTCTATCTGCCTGCTAAATATTTGTCTGGCCTGCTTAAGAAGGTTGGGAGTGCCTTTGCCTGCCCTGGCATCCTGCTGTCACTGCTAGCTGTGTAAGCAGCCCGCAAAGGGCCGGGGCAGTGAGCTCTGCCAGGAGCACAACTGGCTTCGGTAATTGGAACTGAAAGCAGTACCTCTCAGGCTCCCTCCAGTTCTGTGGTGCCCCAAGACCCGAAATACCTCTCTTGTTTGTGCTCTAGCCTGTAGCAATCCAGAGTGGGGATGGAGAAGGGCTCTGGAATGAATGGGCTGTCGCTGCCTTGCTGGTTTTGTTCAGGTCCTGCTGTTAATGGGAAATGGGCTCGTTTCCATGAGGCGCTCGGTGTTATTGCACGGCAGGGAAGAAGCTTTGCAGATCATGTCCCTCCCGCGTGCACAGCAGCGTGGTGAAGAGCCGCTGTCCACATCCTGTAATAAGAGCAAGGGAAGAAATGAAGATTTATGTTAACACGGGTTGAAAGTCTTTCCCAAAATCAGCTGGTAGAGCGCACAAGCACCCTCCCAAGGTTTGCAGTGGTACTCAGCTTTGTGAAGGTCTAGAATATCTCCTGCCTCCTTCGTCCCTGAACAGTGTGTCTCGCTACCCATTTCTTGCTGACAATCTGCAGCAATCAACATATGCCATAAAAAGCACAATGTGGCCATAATCCAGTCCCCGAAGGGATGGCGAATCAGGCTCGGAAGGAAGGGGAAGTGTAGGACACATGCTAGTGTTCTTCTGACAGTGTTCATAGCCCTCAACCTTATGAAAAGCAATTTTACAGATTTGCTGCAGCTGTTGTTGCCCTTTGGGTCTCCCTTGAGGGCTGCCCACCCTGAGGCTTTTTGTGTTGGGGGCTCTTGACACCTTCTGCTTTCAGCAGCCCCAATTAGTACAAGCGTGCACACACCAAGACGTGTGTGCACAAAATGCTGTGGCTTTAATTAGGTTCTGTCTTCAGCTCGCACCGTGCCAATAATGCTTTGCACCTGTCAGCTGCATGAGGGATTTCTGAAGTGGAAAGCGAGAAGCCTTTCGGCAGCGTGGTGAAGCCAGGCGTACTGGCTAGTTAATGGGAGATCTTGGGGTAGGGCCGGGAACTCTGGGCAGGCATTGAGGAGCTGCCAGCCGTGGAGGCAGCTCAAGCTGCTAGAGGAGCTGAGAGCCCAGACGTTAGCTGTCACACTGCATCCCCTTTGTTTGATTCGTAGATGGTGCTGGAGAGTGGGCAAAGCCTGATCCGCTGGCATCAACTGCCAGCAGGAGAGCACCCACATTTAGCAGGGGTCCTGAATCCCTGCAGCAAGCACATGGGCATCTCACAGGGAGATGCTGTGGTCATGGTGGGGTGGTGATTTTCCACAGTGTTGTTTCCCATGTAGCCGTTCATCCAAGCTCATGGAAGAGCAGCACACATGGGACTTTTCTGTTAAAAGGGCAGGCAACATCTCTCACTGTGACACTGTCCATCGTGCTTACCTCCGCACTCAGTGAAACAGTGAATGGGGCTGATTTGTTGGTTCTGCATTTGCTGGGCCCTCGTTTTAGCATTTTAACACTTGGTAGAAGTACAGGCAGTGTGCCAGAAGTTGCCTGTGAGAGCAGCATCACCGTCATAGGGTGCACAGAGAGGGCTGACATCTCCGTCACAGCATCTGGGATTGCAGATACAATCAGAAGGAAAGCTTCAGCGGGAAATACATGCTTATGGACAAACGGAATGGAGTGCACTGCAGTGCATTTTATAAAGACACTCTCAACCCATACAGAAAGGTGTCTATTACTTAGAATGTTCTACGTCTGTTGCTGCGGTGATAAATAATTTCCGCTCACGAGTGAACCCCCTGCAAAATGTTTCAGTCCTTGCTACGCTTTGCTGTTTCCTCACAACTCCCCCAGTGTCTCGATTGCTTAGCAACCGATAGCTTGGCATCCTGGAGCTGGACCACCGGGCAAGGCAGCAGTTTATGGTGGCCACAGTAGCAGAGCAGTGCTCTGGTGGAAATGAACTAAAAACTGGCTTCTTGGCACTCCAAATGGCAGAGTATCAGTAGCAGTGCATATGAAACAGAAACGCAGTTTTTCTTTCCCATTTCAAATACTGTTAAGAGATTGAATCTAAGTTTGCAGACAAGCCTGAGGCAGAAGAGATAAAAATGTTGAGTTTCAGCAATGAAGTGCATTTGCCTAAATTCAGATTCTAGTTTGTGTCTGACTATGGGTATGTTTGAACTCTCGCTGTATCTATTTTTATTCTGCTAGCTGGAGAAGCTCATAAGTGTGATTAGGTCCCCATCACATACTGCAGTTTATGAGCATAAAGGCTTCTACGAAAATGCTGAGGAGAAGAACAGCAGGGAGACAGAAGCACACACTGCGATGGGGTTTTAACAATTCTAGTTAGAAAGGAGTGCAGATAAGTGCAAATATTTAAGCAATTATTTTCAAACCATGTTCCACCCCTCATATCCCCTGCCTTTTCTCAGAAACCTGCCATTTTACAGCAGCACAGTCTATAAAGGTAAAAGCGTGCCATAAGAAAAAAAAAATCCAGAAAAGAATAGGCGTACAGAGTTTGAGCATTATATGTTAATCAGGTACTTAAGTTCCAGTTTTTCTCCTTTCACTTACAGGGATGCAAGAGCAAGAGGAAACTTCTGCAGAGCCTATGAAGGTTGAACTTGCATGTGAAGCAACAGAAGCTTCGAGTAATGACGGTGCGTTGTTCTAACATTTTCACTGTCATAGTACACAAGTAGCATGCCTTCCTAAGGTCTGTCTGTATGCTTACCCCCCAGAATAAGAATTCTCTTTATTATCTCTTCAACTGAAACTTCTGGGAGCCAGCAGTGTGCCCTTGTGGCCAAGAAGGCCAGTGATATCCTGGGATGCATTGCAAAGAGCGTGGCCAGCAGGGCAAGGGAGGTGATTTGATCCTCCCCCTCTACTCTGCCCCGGTGAGGCCAGATTTAGAACATTGTCTCCCCAGTTCAAAACAGACAGGGATCTCCTAAAAGGAGTGCAGCAGAGGGCCACAAAGACGATGAAAGGCCCGGAGCATCTCCCTCATGAGGAAAGGCTGAGAGACCTGGGGCTGTGCAGCCTGGGGAAAAGATGACTTGATCTGATTAATGTTCATAAATGTCTGAAGGGAGGTGGGAAGCAAATGGATGAGGCCAGGCTCTTCTCAATGGTGCATAGCAATAGGACAAGGAGCAGTGGCCTAAAACTTGAGCATGGGAAGTTCCATTCCTTTACGGTAAGGGTGGCAGAGCACTGGAGCAGGCTGCCCAGAGAGGTGGTGGGGTCTCCTTCCGTGGAGATACTCAAGGCCCATCCGGACGCCTGCCTGTGTGACCTGTTGTAGGGAACTGCTTTAGCAGGGTGTTGGATTCGATGATCTCTCGAGGTTCCTTCCAACCCCTGCAGTTCTGTGATTTTGTGAATTTCTGCTGTTACCTGTTAGAGACTTATGAGATTAGTTTTGGTTGTTTGTTTGTTTGTTTGTTTGTTTTTTACAATTATTCCCGGGTCTTTTTAGGTCTGGATGCACATTCCCAGTGGTCCATCAAGATTCAGTGGAGTGTGTTTCTCATAAAATTGAGTCCACAGCACTTCCTTGAAAGCCCTTTTCATACCTCTGCTTTTCTAATTGGCTCAGTGTGTATGTTCAGTTGATACATTCAATCTGCTTGCCTTTTAACTATGCGGTATTTTAGGCCTGCTGTAATTTTGGTCTGGAAATTGATTTGGCCAAGATGTATCTCATCTCGCAGAGGAGTCAGAAAATAGTATTTGTAAAAGCTTCTGAGACAGTGCCTGACTCCATCCTGAGGCAAGCATTGGTTCTATAGCTACTCTGAACTTAATGTCAATCAGAGGTCAACATGTAACCTTGTTCTGGCTCAGAGCTGATTTCCCTTCTGAGGAAAGGAAGTCCTAGTATAACTCAGTCTGGTAGAAAACAGAAATTATTTCCCTAGAACATTTCCTGCTAATAAAACTATCATGATGCTGTGACCTAGCAGCATTTCCAGTTGGGTCTGTGAACATTAGCAACCCAATTGTCCCAGCCTGCAACTTGATGAAATAATTTTTGGTCAGTTGCTTTGGTAAGAAGATGACCTGGCTGTCTGGCTGGCATGGGCTGAGTACTAAGTCCCTGCTCCAGCTCACCATACGTAACCAGTTCTTAAACAAAAAAAATTGCCATCTGCACTCTTCCTGTGTGTAAAGAAATGCTGGATGGGATCAGGGTCCTGGTGCTTAGATTTTAGTAAGGCAAACACTTTGTCGTTCTTCTGGGTGGTCTCCTGTAGCTTAACGAAACCACATGGGGGACTCTTTTGGATTTTGACTGAAAGGTCCTTTTGACTGCCTCAAAAGGCAGTGTTCCCAGGTTTGGGCTTCCGTTCCCCGTTTTGTTTGTCACTGTCAACGAGACCCCTGTCTGTAGTGCAGACCAATTTCTGATTCATCCCTTAATGTCTTCAGTGTTTACATAATATAAATTCAAGGCAAAAATGTTTACGTCTCCAAGATAAAACTATTGCATTCCTTTTGGCATTAATTACACAAAGTATCTAATGCCAGTTTCTGTTCTCTGACATTGGATCATATTGCAGCATTTGGACTGGTGACTAATTTTGGTACTGGACCGTAGAGAAGCTTTTGTAAGAACAGGGAAAGGAAGCATGCTTAATGGGTTTGGTTGCTGGTTGGTTTGCCTTTAATACTGGAGATTATGCTATTACTAGAAATTGCACAGAATGAAGCCAGGACAGCCTTCTCTCCTCATCTCCTGAAGAAATCAACCAAAAAATCCGTAGCCATTTTAGATGACATTAATTTTGGATCCCTGGAATGGCCTGGGCTACTTACCAAAAAACAAATTTACTGAAGAAATAACTGTAGGGATTGCTTTCTGAAAAGAGGAGCATCCGCACGGCTACTGTGGATGTGTGCTGCAGCGCAGCACAGCTGATTCAGCTGACAGCTTCTGCAACGGTGAGCTTCACCGGTTTCTTTCCTTCCATTCTTTGCTTATCTTGTATGATCTTTTACACAGAGCTCATCTTGAAACTTCCTTTTCTGCAGAATTCCTGTTATGCAAAAGGAAAGGAAAACAGTGTTCAGTAATGCGGCATACTCTGCCATCCCGGGAAGTCTTTTTTTCTCCACAGCCTAATTTGCTATCGGGATCACACTACAGGGTTGTTTTTATGCAGTCCTACATTGCATACTAAAAATAAATACAGAATGCTATATCTAAAAAGAAAAAGGTTGAAAAAAAGATCGGATTCCTCATGTATCTGATGAGTTTATTTCACTGAAAAAAAGCCTCCCAGATTTCTGAGTGTACCAGGTACTAGTTGAGATTTAAAGCAAAACAAAACATAAAAAAGATTCCCTCTGATGGTAATTTTAATGTAAATTGCCTGTTTTTCCTCTGGTCCCCTTCCTTCTGCCCCAGGAGAGCACTTCCCAGCTGAAAGCACAAGACTGTCTCACCAGGTTCCCCTCAGCATCTCAGCTCCGGTTTTTAATTTCATGTGCAATGTCACAGTGAAAAGTGCTCCATAAACACAGAGTGTAGAGAGTTGAGGCGGTTCTCAACATGTGTCCATCTCATGGGCAGGGCATTCATAGTGATTTCAGAATTTACTAGAATTTGAGAACTGGCCATGATGGCCCATCAGGAACTGACGGGGTGTTTGTGTGTGTGCGTGTGTAAGCACAAATAGGTATGGATATACAGTAATACTGATTGCTGCTCGTGATCTCCATTGGAAACCAGAGCAAAGATCTCTGGATATTAGATTTCTTGTGCCCAGGACAGATTTTCTGGTTTGTTGTTTAGCAGTGACAAAAGCAGTCTTTGGTAACTGGTTTCCCAGGTAGTGTTTCACTGCCCAGAGACAAATTTTTTTTCTACTCTGCCAAAGCTCTAGAGATTACAGAGGTAGATGTTAGTTTGCAGCTGGTATTAGGCGGATCAAGCTCTTCACTCCTTCAATAATGGAGTTACTCATTGGCCTTTCTTATTTCAAGCCTGTGGAAAGCTGCATCTTGACTTGCTGACAGAACAGGAGAAAAGAAAAAGATGCAGCAAGCACAAAAGAAGAGTCAAAAGTGAAACTTCAGTTTGTTTCATAAGCCACTGCAAGCTGATGAGTGTGGCACCAGTGCCCTGACCTCCACGTGACTCACAGAAGCGACACAAAAGCAAGATCTCAGCAGTTAACACCATCACACATTGTTTTTGTAATATCCTAGAGGCGAATAACTACCAAGAAAACAGGTGCACATATATCATTGCAGCACAATCAGTTTGATTCAAAATAGGTACTTTTCTTTCCTGAGCAGTCTGGAGTTACAGCTGAGTGTGCGATAGCCAAGTGATATGGACGCAAAGGGAGACATTGTTTAGGAAGCAGCTGAAGAAACAGATGACATTTGCAAGTAGCAGTCTGACCGACCTCCTATTTAAATCAATACAATAATACTTTTCTTTCATCTGCCATCCAGATCTACAGCACGTTATCCTCTGGGGGAAAGCGTGTCGTCTCTTTCAGACAACTCTGAACTTAGTTTTCCAGCCTCTGATTTACCTGTCTTCTCTGCTTAGATGCCGTGCCATGACTGCTGGCTCCGTGACCTTTAAGCACGCGGCCAGCTCACAGGGAGAGGAGGGATGCTGTGGAAGCACGGCCACCACTTTGCATGTGTGAACTCTGTGCCCCTTGTTTTTTCTCCCCTTGCAGGGAACTTGCTTGTTTTTGAGGGGAAACTCTTTCGCAGTCTTAATTTGAGAGCTGCTCAGCAGCTCACAGATGGAGAGAGGAGATGCACACAGGTCCTCCCCAGCAGGCCAGAATTTAAGTAGAAAACAGACAGAAGACTCCGTTTCTATTGCACAGAAGTGCCTATTTCTGTCTTAAAAAGCCCCCACACGAAGCTCCAGAACTGGTAAAGCTGCATGTAGATGATGGGCAGCTGCCTTGAACTTCAAGTGCTCTGCTGAGCTGGCAGCTCTAGGTGTGTGTAATGTGATTTAGCAGTTTAACACACGTAAAAACTTCTAGTGGCAAGAAGCCTGTTTCTGGCTTGCATTGTGATTAGATGTAGCACACTTGGGGCCAACCAAATTGTTCCAGCACCGACTCGTGCCGTGAGTCTCGTTCCCCTGTTCCTGGTGGCAGCCCCTCCATCTGCTGCTCAGTAGGTGCTCCGTGGCTTTTCAGGCTAAGTGTCAAGGATTACGTAGGTGGCCTCGTAACAACATCTGTTGTAGGGGTTCACCCAGTGGTCTGCAGAAGCTTATCCTCCAGTTAGATCTTTCTGTCCCTGTCAGTGTTAATGCAAAGAGTTGAGCTTATTCACCCATACGTGGAAAAAAGCTGATGGTGAAATCCTTGGGCACCTCAGTTCTTCCCACTTCCCCTCTGGCTCCATGTTTCAAGACTCCCTGTGCTTTTGCATTGCCCTTCAAGAGGTGCTGGGTGGTTTGCATCTCACCCACTCCGATGTGACGTGCTGTCAGCTAGAGCAGGGATGGCTGTTGGTAGCTTTTAAAAAATGCAAGAGGGGAGAAAGAGGCATGGTCGTTTGGGATGCTGACAGAGCTTGACCTCGGGTTTCAAATGAAGCTTTGGTTTTGAAAGAAATCTCTTTGAAATGTGAGCAAAGCCTTCTGGTACTTACAGAAAACCAAGCTGGTGAAACCGGCTGGCATAATGAGGCTGAGAAAGGCTGCTGTCATCAGTGCACAGCAGCCTTCCCTTAATGATTTTTTATTAAGCATCCTGTCTTTGCTATGCAAATGCAGACGAAGAACACAACATCACTAAATGCGATGTGCATCAGAGCTCCATAATCAGGAGCGGATACTTTTCTTGTTATTCATTGCATACATCCAGGAAGCCATTATGGGATCTGTTCTGCATATGGATGATGAATAATTTACAAATAATTCATCACAATCCTAACAGGTGTATTGACACGATATTGACTCAGAGATCATACTGCCTGGCTGGAAGTAGCTATTGATTTTTGGCCTTTTGTTTCCCTTGTCTTCCCTTAGTTTCCAAATCTCTCATTCAGGTTTGAGGGTTTTCCTGTCGCACGCATCAAATGACTGCAGCTGAGACCACAAAGTAAGGCAAGGTTAAAAGCAGAAAAATGTATAAATGGCCTCGATCAAATTCATTTCAGAGCAGATACTAACTACTACTCATCCTACAAATGCATGTGCTGAAGGAACCCTTTTGTGTTTAGCCAATCACACGTGCCACTGTTGATTTGTCATGACATCTAAACTATGGTCATATTGAAATGCACTTAAGCCTTCCATGTAAATCATCTCCTTTTTTTTTTTTTTTTGGCAGTAATTTTATATGTAAAAATAAGATTGTTGGGGTAAATTGATAGTACACTAGTAAACTAGTACATGTGGGAATGTAGTGCTCTTGCCCCCCCAGCAGTTTGCAGTTCAAGGACAGTCAAAGGCAGAGGCAGCATCACTGCAATTAGAGGTGGATCTGCATCCAGCCCCCGGCGCAGCCCAGGTCCTGCTGGCAGTGTTCACATCAAAGGTTTTGCTCTCAGCCAAAGGCTCCATGCAGGAAATCCTTCCTCTTTCGTTCTCACATGGGGAAGCTAAGAGATCCGCAGCCCTCATTAGCATGGCCAACATGAAAAATCTCCGCGTCAGGTGCCAAATAAATGATTGTGTGTCCGTGTCACCCCCTCACTGCAGCACAGCAACGCGCCAGCAGTAGCAGGTAGGGGTCAAGACCACTTTGCCTGGTGAAGCTCTAAATCACCCCTTGGAAGTACCTATACATCTGCTGGTTGCCTACAGAGACAGAGGAGGGTTGTTTAGTTCGTCAGCTGGCCATTTTTCGTAGGCGCCAGAATGAAATTCAGTGCATTTGGATGAAAGTGAAAATCTGCATCCAGAGGCTTGGCATTTCTAGCGATGCTGAAGCGTATAGCCCATGCAGAACCACTCATCAGAGATTCTGTGTAGTTGCAGATTAAGACAACTGGCATAAGAGATACATAGATAGAACACAGAATTTTTAGTGTGATAATTGAACTCTGTGCCTTTTGGGCAGAGTGGTTCTTACTCAAGGTGATAAACTTCACATGTATTGTGAGCAGCGTTTGAACACTGTCTTGTTTTGTTTTCAGCTGAAATGGATAATCAAGTTGAAAGTATAAAAGATCCAATGGAAACTGTGCCAGAAGCTTAACTAATAGGTAAGATATTTACGGCTATTTTCCTCTGCATTTTCCATTTTGGTTCTATTTGAAAACTCAATTTAAAAATGAGTTAGGACACACCAAAAAAAAAAAAAAAAAAAAAAAAAACCACAAAAAATAATGGGCTAACAGGCTAATAGGGCTTCTATTGCACAAAAGGATAAACATCTTGTGTAGACTTGATTTGTCAGGTAAGGATGGCAGCAGCATTCTGCAGCTGTGATGGCTTTGGACAGTGCGTGGTCTTAGATCATGAGAAGGCTGGACAGCAGTGAGATAAGCAGTGGAAGAGTAACGGAATGAGTGAGATTTGGCATCACTTTGGAAAATGATAGGCAGTTTATACTGGTCAGAACAGGTTTCAGTTCTGTGCGATCCACATGCTGGGAGCAACAGGCTCACATCATGAGGGCTTTCCTTCCCTTGGCTCTGCAGTGCCCCACATCGCTTGTGACTGCACTGCTGTAAAGCAAGGCAAAGGGAGCAAGCTGCTTTCTGGAGCTGTGCAGCATTTCAGAGCTTTACTGTTTCATGTGCCAGATGACAGTGCTATTGCAAGAGTGCACGATGGTAGCTGTTGCTGTGGAAGTCTTTGTGGATGTAAGCAGCATCAGCCTTACATAAAAATGAGTAATTTGCTAGGAAGACAGCAGTCCAGGCCCACCCCAGCTACAAGAAGGAGTTCTACATCTATCTCAGAACAGAATTTTTAAGCATTAATACGCAACGCTGCCTCGGCATTGTCAATATCACACACAGCAAGGTGTGCTATTTATGTAATAGGATTTCGTGTAGCTCAAGACCAAATATAGAAGCTTTACAACAGTGGCAGCTG